TGCGCGGGGCGGCCGCTCCCTGCCCTCCTCTTCCCTCGCAGCCGGCCGGCTCCGGCCCCTCGGCCCAGGTGCGGGGCCGGAGCAGCTTATAGAGCGGCAGGCTGCCCGGGCTGCGCTCGCGGCTGTGGGTGACGGGGCCTCCGCTGCCAGCTGCCTTGCGCGGGTGTCAAGCCCAAGCCTGGTTTGGGGCGAGGGCAGGCAAGGAAAGAGCAGCGGTCCGGGTCTGTGCGGACACTTGTCTTGTCCCGTCCGTGGGGGCAGCTGCGGCCCCACTGAGCCTGTCCTTCAGTCACTGAAGGAGTCCTGGGTAGCCGGCTGCTGTCCTCTAGCCCCACCGTCTCATGCAGCCTCCTGTCCTTCAGTGCTTGGCACTTCCCCTTGCCAGTGCCAGCCTCCCTAGGGTTAGCTGGGGGTTATCTGGTGTCTGTGGTGACCAGAACTGACCAGTTGTACCGGCGAGGGAGCCATCCACTCTTGGGGGCAATTTGGGAGTTGCCGTGTGAATGCATCCAGCGTGGAGGTCTTGGTGAAGCTGGGTTTTGGAGTCCCTGCTCTTTGGATCGGCTCAAGCCTGCGCCTGTTTTACTTGTACAGTCGTGCCCTTTGATCTTCCCAGCTGCTGCTCTGACAACTGGATGTTTATTGCTGGCTGCTTTAAGGTTCAGCGCATGACTTTTCCCATACTCCCTGGCATGACTTTACCTCGTTCTCTGGTACAAATAGTATTTTGTCATCTGTTCTGTCTGAGCTGTCACCTTAACTCCCCTTCCTAACTGCTTCATGTCCAGGGCACTAGGGAGGTCCCTGTCCCAAGTGGACCTTTCTTCGCCACCTTTCCTTAGGCACTGATCACTTCTGCTGCACAGAACGGCATGAGCGTAGCATCCTCAAGAGAACAAGATTTGTTAAGAAGAGAAATCCACTTGAAAGTAGGCTTCTTTAAAAGTAGCAGCAGGCTTTAGGGCCACAAAGTCTTGCTATTGAAATCTTGCCCCAAGATGGTAAAGAGCTTTGTATTGTGTCCGGTTCTGTTTCCCATAGCAAGGAAACTCTAAGAAGTCAGGGACTTGGAAAGTTCCTAGCTTAGCTGCTACTTCTCAGATCAACTTGCCCCCAGTCTGTCTTGTGTCCTGGCTTCTCATCTGTTAACCAACTGAATGTTCCCTACCTCACTAAGTTGCTGAAGGTAAAATCAATTAATCACTGAGGTATTCAGATGTGATGATATCGATGTAAGTAAAAAAGTTAAGGTGGCTGAGTCTTTTAGCCTTAATTACAGTTACAGGAAATACCCTCCCCTTAGCTTGTCCTTTTTTCCAGCATTCTATTTTTTGTCAGGTCCTGTGCTTGACCTTGTGTCTACCCAGCCTTCACAGAGGCTCTGTGTTGGTCGTGAACATCCAGGTACCATCAGCATCCCAAGAAATTCAGTTGGGCGTGCCTTTGTGATACACGAGGGTAAAAGTGGATTAGTTTGTATTCTTTATACAGTGTTCGTAGCTGCTTCCCTGCTAACATTTCCTCTGGTTATCCTAGGCATGTTTGACAATGTCCTTGTTTAAGGCCTATCTTTTTATATCCAACTTGGGTCTTACCAGAATCTTGACTCAAGATGACAAAATCTGGGTTCTGGTTAGACTTGGTAGACCTTCCAAATGATCTTGTGCTTTTATGCTGTGGCTTGACAAGCTGTCTTCTCTGGAATTGCTGGTAGACCGTTCACTTGGTGCAATTTGCTATACCAAATAACATACTATGGCTTATTTGCCTCCCATACTTTTAGTGCAAGGTTTCCTAAGTGGTATAAATAATAGAATAAGGAACTGGCCCAACCTGCAGGGCTGTAGAAGCTGAGCACCTCATAATCTCTAACATAGTCACTTTCATACCTCTCGTTTGTGCAAGACTTGTTATCCTCACTTTCTCAGACGCTGAGGCTAAGTGACTTGCCTGAGCTCACACAAGGCATCTGTAGCCAGGACTTCAACCCATGTTATCCACATCCTTGACAACTATCTTAACCATCAGACCATCCTTTTGAAACTAGTATCTCATGCATGCTGGGGTTGCTGCATAAAATATATAGTCACCGTGCTTCTGGCTTGGAATCCCCAGAACAAAGTGCGGTGAACCTTGCCACAGACAGGATGTTTCTAGTCCATGTCACATTATACAGGGCTAATCTGAGAGCTGTTGTAAGTGGGCACAACTCCCCCAAAGTGCGTGCAGCTGTCCTTTATATTGGGCCTCACTTGTCCCACAGCTGCTGTGACAATGAACCACCAAGGGGCCAGTGATTAGACATGGCTGATGTCTTCAGTGAGATTCAGCCTTGGGCATCTCTTAGCTCAGGGTACAGCATAGGGCCACACCATGCATTATTAGCAACAGGCCCTTGGAATGCCAACATGCAACTCCCCTATGAATGTATTAATGTTTTCTCTCTCAGCCAGTGCCTTGGCTTAATTACTGTTTATCTTTGTCAGTGTTTCCTAACTGCCTTGCAGCCCATGTGTCTGCTTGAATTACCTCAGCTGAAAGGACTTGTCCTGTTCCTGCTTACACTTGTATTGCATCACACACAGGCCAGTACTTTTGAGAAGCTAATCTCTGAGTACTGCACCCAAAACTTCTTAGATTTTTACTATAATATGGAACCTGTTAACGTATACCCAATAGAGAAGATGGGAGTTTCCTAGGTATTAGTCGCAGGGGATTTTCCAGCACCATTTACTTCAGTTATTTCTCATGCTTGGCACAGTCCCATTGCTGGGGGGAGGAAGAATTCTTTTCAGAGAAATGGCATCCCAGCAGTTCATCAGGGATTTGTTTCATTTGATGACTATGTGGCTTGGCACTGGCTCTAGCTGGGAATGAAGTGGGCAGATGCCCCTGCAAAGTTCCCCATGTTGTTACAGTTGTGACTAAAGTCTCCTGAGCACAAGCTAGTTTCAGAAATGGTCTAGCGCCCTTCTG